GTTCGCGTACTAGAGCCTTCTATGGCCCCCGCAGCGTCAGACGGTTCCTGAATTCCGCTCTCAGACGAGTCGTCCTCATCCCTATTAAGGGTCGACCTCGTCTGGGGGGCATCGTTAGCGTTCATCCCTCTACACCCCGCTGAACACTCAATAGATCTCTTTGACTCCTCGGGACGAACAGAACAAGCAGCAGACCAATCGGGCCCCACGTTGGAAGCGCCAGTTGTGTGGGTCGCTCTATTATACTGCTGCCCAACCGGTCCCCGCCTGGTCCGCCTTCCCAAGAAGTCACACGAGCAAGAATGAATTCAGAACGCTTTACTGTTTCGGCTGGTCGCTGTAGCCTTGCCGTTGCAGCCCTCATCCGTGTGTCTTGCCCGTGCCTGGCGGAATCTCTCGTGCCCTCTGTCACGCGCACCGGGCCGCCGGCCACCGCTCCTGCCCCCTCGCGCGCCGTCGTCCTCCTCGGCTTCTCACAGTGTGAATCTCGGTTTCTGCATCCTGATCAAAATGCCCATGAACAGCAGGACTCTGGAGTCTTCGCTTCAACCCGTCGAATGCCTGCTGCTGCTCCTCGGCCCGTTCGAACTCCTCAGCGTCCTTCGTGAGGTTTTTCAGCAGTGTGAAAATCCTAGAGAAAACGTGAACGAAGCGCCGATAGCACGCAGATAATCCAAAGTATCTTCGCGCGGCCTTCTTGTCCGTCGGCGCTGGAAATGCAGCGACGGTGCGGGTCTTCTCTGGGCTTGGGCGAACGCCATCGTTGCTAACCACGGGGCCTAGGAACTTCAGTTCGTCATAGTCGAACCGACACTTCGGTGGCATGAGGTTGAGTGCGGCAATCTGCATGGCTTGGAGAACAGCTCGGAATCGTCGCAGGTGCTCGTCGAAGTCACTCGAAACAACTACGGCGTAGTTAAGCTAAACGAGACAGCTCTGCACTCTAAGAAAAAACGGGTGTAGTCGGGTGTATCAGCAGCACATGCACCCCTTTCCTGAAAGATGCACCCTCCGTTACGCAGCCAGTGTATTTGTGCACCGACAATGGGCATCCCCCTCTCCCTTAAAAATCTCTAGGTGTATCAGTGCACCGCCAGGCTATACCACGCACCCCGACCAGCGTGTGCTTGGAGGCCTTCTTGGGGGTCACTTTTGGGTTGGGCAGTTTCTTATGAAGTATGGAACTGTTTTGTTCACTCGGTATTGACAGTAGAGTAGACGCTATGCTTGTTTTAGGCCAATCGGGCCTCCGGGTAGAATCACGTGACTACAGTCTCCAAGCTAGAGATAAGGCAGAGCACGGCACCTGCCTGAAGGCCAAGGCTACGGGTAGCATCCACTGCACTATTAACTTTGAGTCGAACTTTCAAGAGGATATAGGGGACAAATCCTCTAGCTGTGTTCATTGTTGGGATAACCCTGAAGATAAGCCTTCGCGAGGGCAGCCACTTTTAGCCTTGAAGGAGGTGCTATTTTCGTAGACTCCTCTCTTTTCTTTCTCTCCCTAAGCTGAATGCGTGGAAGAGGCTACGCAGTCATCGGACCAATGAACCGGAGGCTTTTTTTATCCTTTGAGTCCGCTGTCTGGGCGAGGGTAATGGCAGGGGCGTGATCATGTGGCAAAAGTTTCACGGGTGACGTAGTGGCTCTTTTCAATCCGGATATGTCTGATTCCCGGCCTAGTTTCTTGTGTGCTGTGCTGCGACTAGCGGGGCTGCCAGAGATTTCGTCCCTTACAACGTATTCGAGTGTACCAAGGCCTCCAGTGTTTGAAAAGTCCAACGTACATCGGCAACAAGCGATTTCTTCAAGAAAGCCCAAGGAATTCATGTGATGCGTTTAGTGTTCGCTTAGGCAAATTACTGCTTCTGCCACATCGTTTTGAATCTTCACAGACCCCTTTCTTTCCGTGTTTGTGTGGTTCTGCAGTTTCTGTGTCAACGTCTATCTCGGGTTACATATTTCAAGTCCGGTATTTTCATCGTAAGTGCTCTGCAACCTACTCCTTTGCAGCAGTTGACCGTTCCGTTTTGGATTACGTCTAAAATTAGGCAGTGTCTATTTCCTAACAGCTGGGAGAATAATTTCCCAGAAATTCTATCGGTAGTCGCCTGCCATTAGCTGTCTACAATCATGTGATAACTGCAGGTGACTTTCTTATTCTCCCGGCGTTTTGTGAACACGCGTTTCATGGACACCTTTTCGTTGATACACGTTTTCTAGACACGTTTCGTTGACACTAACGTTTCACCGCCACTCGTTACGCGAAATACACGCTGTATGGACATTTCGCCGTGCGTGTGTCTCTGAGGCGCGTGCTCACCGACCCAGCCCACCGGTTCACGTCGCTTCGTGGCGGCAGCATGCGGCGGCTCATTAAAAAATGTTAACCATACCTGTGATACCCGCATATATCACCTCCCGCATATAGTCTGCGGTGGCTCATTACAGAAAAAAAAAAGAGAGGTGTTTATAGAGGAAAGCTAACCTGAGCTGTCGATGGAAAGTCGTTCGATGAAGTGATGATAGCGCCAATGAGTGACGACTGCCGGCGCGATTTCGGGTAAATAATTCTGCCAGCTGCTGAGAGAATAGACACTACCTAACAATCACCTCGGTTCTTGTTCGCTCAGTAACCTCCTCAGTTGTGTAACAGCTTCGTTAGATATCTTCACTTATCACAGATTGCTTGCACGTTTGTACTTGTTTACGGAATAGGCTGTCTAATAAACTTATAGAAGATTTGAAAACAATCCGTTGTGTCTGTTTTACCTGCCTTTTTGCAACCACTTGGGCCAGTACATTTTTTACAGGTTTCCTTGAGGTGGGTGCACAAAGAGGTGTAATGGTACATCATTGAATGAGGTGTATATATGTTCCATATGAGCGGGGTGGGTGTAAAAAACGGTGTAATACTAAACTCTGTTGGCGGGTGTATCTCTGTTCCCTATGAGCGGGGTGGGTGTAAACAACGGTGTAATAGCAAACCCTGTTGGTGGGTGTAGAGAAGGGAATACTTGTACACCGAAAAGACAGTGTGGGTGTAAGAAAGGCGTAGTGACACACCCCTGTGTGGGGTGTATTTGTGCACCCCCGAATGCTGAAGGTGTATAAAAGGGTGCACATGTGCACTCGTAAAGAAGGTGTATATTTCACCTCGTTTTGAGGTGTACGTGTACACCTTTATGGGTGAAGTATATGTGGCAGCACTTACACCCCCGTGGGTGTACCCACTACACCCGTTTTCTTTAGAGTGTGTCATTTCGGTCCTACCACTACGGGTGTCCACGACACGCTGAAAAGTTGCTTGCCCCGTGCATGTTCCGAAGGGCATCACCTTGAACTCGTACAGTCCATCCGGCGTGACGAAGGCTGTCTTTTCTCGGTCCCGTTTGTCGACTGAGTTTGAGCTGAGTTTTAGACTGACTGAGTTTGAACCAATCAGGAGTTTTCCGTCCATTCGACACCGACACCGACACCGACGCCAGCCGTTCTGCATCAAGAGCTCCCAAACGCTATTACGTGAAACATGCCAATTCGTTAACCTAACATCCCCTTGAATCTGTGCAAAGCCGGTGTCCCACTGCTCATAAATGACACAAAAAGTAGTCTGTAGAGTGGCTGTGTGGGGATATATAGAATGCTTGAAAAATAAACCAGTTACTTGAGTTTGAGATGTTCCCTTCTGTGTATGTTCCTTCGACTAAAATATCGTTTTTTTTTCTTTTCTGCGCCACAGTTTTAGTTGCTGAACGACATGATTAGCTACCACCAGCTTGCCCGTGCACATAGTCTTTGCAAACACGAGTCACCGCAATATTCGTGATTTGAATGCCGGGTGGTAGCCCTTGAGCTCAGTGCCGTGCGGCATTCGAAGCACGAATCTTGGGGTACTAGAGTTTGAATCTGTATGCAGGCTGTCTTTTCTCTGGTGAATAAGCAGTGTGACGCCGGCTTAAGTCGGCCGTTCGAAGGGGCTGTGCTCCCCAACCAAAGATTCCCAAGGTAAATCAAAAACACATTTTTTTTTTTATATCGGTAGTTTTGCATTTTGATGGACAGTCTATTATTGGTTTCTGCTTAACTATACTAATGCTATCAACGCTACGAGCCAGTGTGGCCAAAAAAGCTTTTCGGGAGGCGCGAGAGTACGTCGTGTCCCGTATTACACGCACAGAGCAAAATAGGGCATGGGGCAAGTTCAGGCGGTATCCCACCTCAAGAAACCTGGTTGAGTTTAGGAAACGAAAAGCCAAAGCCGGGTGGACCCGTAAGCAATGGAAGCGGAAAACCTGGATGAAATATGTGTCATCTCTGAGGAGCTTTGTAATTGCTAAGGAGGTCTGGGAAAGATTCAAGAATATCAAAGGGGTCTATAAGGGTTTTACGATTCCCATCTTCAACCCTCCATCTGCATCACTGAAAGATACGGCTAACGTCCTTGGGGAGTACTTTCATTCTGTATCCAGCTCCTCTAGTTATTCCGATTCCTTCAAGTTTAAGCGAGGTGCAGAGCAACAATATTGTCGCAACGGGATCAAATGCCGTATCTTATAATCAGCCTTTCACACAGTATGAACTAGAAAGTGCCCTTCATATAAAAAAATCTCTGCTCCTGAACCGCCGATTGATCCAATCAAGCGCGGCAAATGCGACGAGACATTGCGTTCGTGGCCTGCGCGTTTTGGTTTGCGTTTCAAGTAGCTTTTTGCCCCTAGGATTTACGATCTAATATAATATAATGTATTCATGCAGTATTTGCATCATCCTACGTGGTCTCCGAAAAGAAAAAAAAAAACGCGCATACACAAAAAATATGCAGATGAATCAATCCTATTTGATTGAATGAGTCAAATGTTACATAGCCGCCGTTTAGGGCGTCGTACAGAAATCAAGGGTATAAATGTTTTTATTAAATATTTTCTTCAGAAATTAAGCTGCACACCTGACTGTCTGATTACAGGCAAGACTATCAAAGGAGATATCCTGGCCGACGTGCTTCACGCCTTAATCAACTGATTGGCAGAGTCTTCGAGGTGCACGAGCCCCACAGACTTCCAGAAGACCTTGTCCGCCAGGGCCCGGTCCTTGGCCCTCCAACTGATCCAGTGCCTCCGGCAGTCCGAGAAGTACTTGCCCGTTTCCTTGGCCACTTTGGGGTCGACTGCCAGGAAGATGGATGTCTGCGCGCCCTCGCGCGCCGTCTGCAAGAAACGAGTGCATCTTCTTAAATAGAGTTCGGAACTATAGTTGATATAAAAGTGAACAAAAGGCTAGGGCGCAAATGAGCTGGTGGTGGTTAAACACTTGACTAAAAACTCCGAGACCGGCTGAAATTTATTCGACAACGAAAGGTCCTATATAGGCATTAAATCCTACAGTGGTTTGTGTAGGATTTGATGTCTATGTAAGCCGTTTCGTTGTTGAATGAATTTCAGCTGTATTTGAAACCTTGTGTTTCTTCGTCCCCTTTCTTACCTGTTTCAAAGTTTTTAGTCAAATGTTTTACAGTTGATCTCGTGCTTTTTAAGCATTGCATGTTTTATAATAAATCCGCCTACTCCCAGGAAGTCTTTTCTTTGTTACTTCTTTATTAGTTTCACGTTTTCACCGCGTCGGGGGCAAGGATAAAACCGTGGTGCCTGATAGAGCACTTGCCCCCTAAAGTTCAGCAGCTCAAGATACTGAGAAAGGCACAACAATTCTACAAAACATTATGCGACAATTGTACAAAACAAATCAAAGCTCAAATAGAAATAAAAAACCACAGAACTATTTTATATAACCTACCAGGCGCGTAGCCAGGGAGGGGGGGGGGGGGGGGTCCCGGGACCCCCCCCCCCCCCCCTTAAAATCTTTCATTTTGCTGGGACCTCCTCTCCCCCTCCCCCTCATACAGCATTTTGTCATGGGCAGGCCCACCCCCAAACCAAAATCCTGGCTACATGCCTGTAACCTTCTATAAATAAACGTTAGAGAATGCTAGTCGTCTTAAAACTGAAACAAAACAAAACTAGCGTACAATCGTTTATATTTCCTCCTTCCGTCCGTCCGTCTTTTCGTCCGCAGTTACTACACACCACCTAGATACTTGTGGAAAGTAGTGATGAATGGTCGACGTCATCATCTGAGGACTGGCGGGGCCACGGGCACGAGTGCTGCATCAACGTTGGGCTGGAACTCGAGTTCAGCCCATGAGGGTATAAGTCGAATGAATACTGACATGGCAGTCGTGTCCAGTGTATGACCCGTGCAGGCCCTCAGTAGGCGAGGTAGAAACTTCAGCACTTAAGCCTTTTTTTCTAGGTGATGTTGGGACTTTCCATGTTTGGATATGCCAGCACAGCCGGTTCGGTTTCTATGGCAACATGTGGAAAACAATCTGCGCGAACAAATATTTTTAATTAAACAAATATACAATACTCCTGAATATGTGTAAACTGTCTCAGAACCTGTAAATGATCTGATGTAGTTGTATTGCATATAAATCCCAAATCAAAGTTTGATTCCATAACTAAAGTTTCGATATTTATTAGCTTCACGAATGCTGGGAGCCGTCATTGAAGGGAAAGAGGTTAGTAGGCGACTATCTTCACTGCCAGTAAGAGTACAGAGTGGAAGAGTTGCGGTTATCTCGCCTCCAGTGCGTGCTTCCGACCTTGGTTAACACTTTGGCCTCTAGTGAGCCTCGGGATGGCGTGCACAGTGAAATCATGACGGAAGGCTTACAGGTGCGTGTTGGAGGCCGGACGTTTGAAAGGGACGCCATAATGTTTTGAGGCTCTCAGTGAGTAAAATTAAATGTATACGGTTCTAGCCCGTTCGTAAAATAATGGTCACTTCGCATGTGTGCAATTTCTTACAGGGGCACCGGGAACATGACGAACGAACAAATGACTTATCAGACTCACCTTTCCGCCCAGTGCTTGAATGAAATGAAAAAACGAAGACACCAGGCCAGTTGAGTGATCGGCTATATGCGTATTGCAGATGCCCGGATGCAGAGCGTTGACCGTGACGCCTGAAGCAAGGAGGGATTGGGACAAATCAAATGGCATACCAAGTATTTTATCAACATTCTTCTTTTTAGATGTAGTCCTGGCAGTCATTAACTAACGCTTTATAATGCTGAATAAAGTTGGCTGGTGAAGAGTTATGTTTATAGAGACGTAAATAATGCCCTACATGAAGGCGCTAGTTCGAATGAAATGTGTTTCTTCTTTAAGTAAACAGGTGCGCAACGAGAACAGCGCATTGGCGAAACATTAAGAAATGTTTTAGAATGTCAAAGAAGTGCGTGTTTTACATGGACGTAAAAAACTGACGACATTTTGTATGGTGCACACCGAAACAAGAAATAAAAATAAAAAATAGTTGTATATGTTGCTTTCTTTTTTCCTCCCAGACTGCTGTCAAGCAAACATGATTGTTCTGTCAAATGAGACTCATTTTGTTATTAAATGAATGTGGAAAAATATTTTTCTTTTCTGCTTTATTTCACTTTGCGCAATTTAATATTACGGGTTACAGCGCTAAACAAGATATGAAAAGAAGAAGGGGGGCTAATTGCAGAAAATCCAAGATTTAGTTGACCCTAACCTAACCTACTATATTTCCATCATTTTCCAACTGATCTTTTGCAATTTAATGAAAGAAAAACATGTAACGCAATTTATTTGCATACTGCTAAATAAAAAAATAATATTCAGAGAAGACGGGACTTTTCTAAAAGAAACTCTAATAGGCACCTTCAATCACGTGTTCCCTTAGACGGAAAACATTTCCAGCTTTCTAAAACCATATTACAGAACCTCGTTCTTTGATTTCTATTGTATTATATTATGAGAGCATCGTATCGCATAGCAACTTGACGTAATAAACTTACTGACAATGACAATAGGTGATAGCGCATGCGTGCAAAAAGTAAAGCTTGACGAAGCAACGAAGTTGTGAAGCCGCCGCAATATGTACCATAATGTTTGAGCTTGTGGGCAAGAGCCCTGGTGAAGAGCAGCATGGCGAGCTTGTTGTTGCAATAGGAAGCGACGGGGTCCCTCATGGGATGACGCCCCTTGACCCTGTCCTCGAAGTGGTCCGCGCTCCCCAAATGGTGCAGCACCGAGGACACGTTGATCACCCTACTCGGGGCACTCTCGGTCAGGAGATCTGAAAAAAAAACAGAATGCGAAAATGTTCAGACCAGGGACGTGCGTCTAACCGGTAATCCGCCACTCATTGCTCTGCGGCAGAGGGAAGACACTTGCTAGAGGCTCGGCTTCTTGATGGGCTGTCCCAAAACTTTGTGACGTCACTATGTACTTTTATGGGAACTGCAGAGAGCAGAAATCTATTATTTTCACAAAATCATCAACAATGCATTCGACTATTTTTGTTTGGCAACAAACTCATCTGTGGCATCTATCGAGTAGCGCGGGCACACTTCCGGTCAGCGTATATTTCCTCTTCTTTTTTTTTCGTTTTGCGCGTCAGTCTCTTGCCCTAAAGTGAATTGCCTCATACATTGTTGTAAGAGATCATTTACAGAAGATAGAGCGTCGATCTGATCTCTCAAATGCTGCAAATCTCGCAGTCTAGTTCAGTACCGGAAGTGTTTAAGGGCATGAGGAGCGTGACTTCGTCTGCATCTTACACAGGAGTTCCGATGATGGCAGAACGCCGAGCTCTTAATAGCTGATCGAAAAAAAAATAGTGGGTAGATCTCGAGCCATCTAGCATCGAGGTCTACCCACTATCCTTTGAATCAAAGGTAATCAGAGCACGGCGTCATTCGGACGTCATCGCAACTCCTGCGCAAGAAGCAGATGACACGCTCTCCGCATTCGCACATTGGCGCTGCCAAGCCTCAGCTCACTTGAGAAAGAGCAGATACGTTCACAGTGGGTACCCGAGTTTGTTTCACGTAGGCTGCTCGTGGCACGTAACAATTCGGTGTCGCGTGCACGTCATGGTTTCACGTGATATTCTGAAGTTGCAGTGATGTCTTATAATGTCAGGTGACGTCGCATTTAGCGAATAAACAACACTCGCGAAAATTTTTGGGAAAGATTATTCGCTGATTGGCACAATGTCACGTGAAACAATGACGTCAGATGACTACTTTATGTGATGCCACAACGTCAAGTGACGTCGTATGCGGGTAATTTGCATGACAATCTTGTACTTAAAAGGTTAAAACAGCGCAAAAAACAACGGACAGAGTTCTTTATCCTGTCCGTCGATTTTTTTTTTTTGCACTGTTTTAACGTTTTAGGTATGTCATACCCACTCGCCCAGGTTTCAACTTTAGCAACAATTCAGGAAACAGTTCTTTTTTTTTTTTTTGCACAACCTGCCTGCCCTTATTTAATACGTTTTCGCCCCTTCCCTTTGTATTGTTCTGCGTATACATATACCGTAAGTTCTATCACGCCAATAATAGGCAGGGAAAATAACACGGCAAAGACCCCTCCCCCTTTCCCTGAAATGAAATTCTAGCCATATGTCTGGATGGCATAATCAGTAACGCTTCTATTAACTAGATGAATACCCAGGCATCATGACCGAGTAGCGATATAAATCCTTTAGAAAACGCGTTTTTATTTAGTTATTTAATTCTTTTTTTACTAATACCCCTAGCCCCAGACAGAGGGGCTGTAGAAGACGGGTAGAAAGACCTATGCTTTGGTAACAGATGCACGTGCAAAAACAAAGGGAGATATATTTGTTTCACAGTGTGGTGGCCAGTTCGCGCAAGAAGCTCTCATGCTAAATGACCTAGGTGACGCTGCTAAACAGACCATTCAAATCGCACATTCTTGCCGGAAAACAGATGTTTAAATCGGTCTAAGTGAATGTGACAATCATCATTCGATCTCGGGTATGAAAGTGAAGTATTAATTATAATGAAGAAATCAAACCATTTGTGTCTTGCATTAAAATTAAAAGTTATCATCCTCTAAGAACACGCACAATCCGTCCCCTTATGGGCTGTCAGAGCAGCCAGTGTTGAAGCCGTTAGACACACGCGTTCTCCCCCATAATATCATCGTCCTGTTATTGGCCGCCATTGCCCCATAGACAACAGTCTGTTGCCACAAACGTTTTACCGATGCACGCTTTTGCCATGAACGTGATAAGTAACGGGCAAAAACGGAGGCCTATAGACGCTTTACACACGCGCCAAATTACAGCCGCCATTGCTGACCTTCTCTTGTCTTACCGAAATGCCGAGCAACTGAAACGGTAGTTGACGATCCTCTACAAAGGTCGATGCTTTAGAAAAGGACACAGTTGAATCTAACGTGGCAATAACCTGGCCTGCTATGGTAATAATGAAGTGAAATAAACAAAATAAGAGGAAACAAAAACTGAAGGTCAGCTATGGCGGCGTCCATGCACAGCTGCTGCAAAGCGTCTATACACCACTTGAAAATGCGACTTCCACCTCGCAGGACCACCTCACAAAAAATGACGTCACGTAAATTGGAGTTACATAACGTGGACACGTGACATCGATCTAAATTTTCCGACAAAGTTTGCGGCAAATTGACGTCACGTGACCACGTCCTGCAGCTTCAAGTCAAGTGATGTCCATTTCTGCGGGGTGAGGCGGTAGTTGTATTTTCGCGTGACGTCAATTTTCCGCTACATTTTGGGCGAAATTGTCATCACGTGATTTGAGATCACATGAAATCACGTGTCTTTGCTTCATGGCGTGGTCACGTGACTTCAATTTCCCCGCTAAATTTACCGGAAAGAACGTGACGGTTTTTTGTGGCGGTTTCACACGGAATTCAGCTGATTAATTATATTCTGCATTAATAACATTGGTGGTCGTTTTTCCCCATCTGCCTTTATTTCCCCGCTCTAACATGTAAACGGTGCCTCTATACTTTAAACAAAGAAACACTCAGTCACTTTCTCTTGCCGGGAAAAGAAGTTTAATTAAATTGCAACAAGCTTGAATGCGATGCAGCTGGTCTTTTCAACGAAGGAATATAAAGCAGAGAGAGAGATAGACAATAAGAGGGGCAGGTGACGCAAGATGAATGAAACAGTTAATTTATACTAGCATTTTCTAATAGACTACGTTTACCCTTACTCTGACAGTGCGGTGGAAGCTACGTGCACTTTGAATCAGTGTACGTTGATGTTCCGCCACGTGATCACGCACCGGCCCCTACCCATTCACAATGATCGGTGTCATGTGTTGAAAGGGAGGACGTTGATTGGTCCGGCGATAGCGTAGCTATCATAGAAAAGTCCCCTTAGCGGTGAACGGAATATATGTAATGGTATGATTCTCGCACATGCTCATCATAAATAGTTGTGCTGTTACATGAGTGAAATAAAAACAGGTTGGCGGAGATTCTAATTGAGAAAAGAAATTAAAAAGAACACCCTTGTTAACAATCCAGACACTTGAAGACAAAACTTTATTGAGGCCAATGTCAAAATGGTTCTAGAAAAAAACATTGTACCCACAAATGATCAGCTGTAGAACAAGCACTCAAAGCGTTGTTGAAAACACTTCAAATGACGATGAAAAGATAATAAGCACATATCTTGAATAGGAAGTGCCGACTTTGATTGACTCACCAAGGAGGAGCATAGTAAGCAAGAAATGGCCTAAGTAGTTGACCTGGAAAGCCTCCTCGTAGCCATCTTCCGTAAGCTTTGTTTTGCTCGAATCTGGAAAGGAAGCCAGACAAGTACCGCAGATTGAAAGGCGAACTAGTTGCTCGAAATCCGAATCAGCGCTCTATTAACAGAAAACAAAAACAAAAACAAACACATATCTAAGCCAGACGCGATCGCTTCCTAATCGCAGTATAATCGTTTAGGAACCGCCATCCACCAACCGCGAGAAAAACCCGCCATTCTACCTGATGGAGTTTTCACTGTGAACGTACCGCGTAAACGAATTAGTTCTATTTGTTTTCAACTGATAGGAGCTCGTTCCGCTCATTATCCACGGCATAATACATCAATTAATTGTTACACGTAAAAAAATATTTTTGAAATGGTTTATTCAATACAGAAGGGATTATTTCTGTTTGACACGAACCGGTTCTTTAAGAATCTGTTTACATTGTCACTGACGTTGAATGAACGCATGGTGTGGTTCATTGTGTTTATGCTTTCTTCTTGATTCGCTAGTCGGCGTTTTCATCGACGATTGCTGCAATCTCATCGACTAAAGAGCGATAATAAGAGGCTGGGTACTCGCTACGCTATGGATTTCTTAAGTTGTCAGGGACGACATTCCTGGCACTCACCGAGTACAACTCCCGCATTGTTGATGAGCACGTCGAGCCTGGGTTCTGTCCTGACGATGTCCTCGGCGAACGCCCTCACCGACTTGAACGAGGCCAGGTCAAGGTGCTTGATGATCGCAGGCTGCTGCGTTTCCTCGAAAATCTCCTGCGCCGCTGATTTCGCCTCGTCCAGGTCGCAGCAGGCGATGATGACGCGAGCTTTCCGCCTGCACAGGTCTTTCGCTGTCTCCTTGCCAATGCCTGAAAAAAAAAAATTAAACTTGTCTCGAAGATTTTGATGAACGCGGAGAACTCAGATTGCGTCGTGTGGGCATTCTGCGTGCGTTTTAATTTTTTATGATTGGTTAAAATAAAGTTTTTGATCATATCCGATGCGTTGCACGCGCAGCATGCTCACGTCTCTGGGTTTGTGGGAATAGACAACATACTTCAATTTAAGGGGGAGTGGTGTGTGTAAGGAGCATGCTTTGAAGCGAGGCTTTTTGGGGATACTGCTCCTTCCTTAGGGTGCTCAAGTGCTTGGAGTTCTTGGTTCTTCTGGATTGCGAGAAGCCGCTTGTGGTAACGTGAGTAATTTACGCCAGTTATGATGGGTGTCTTGACAAGCCCATGTCTGTATAACTTCTGCTCTTTGTCGCTTTGTATATGCCGGATTGGTTAAGCATGATGAACTCAAAACGCTCGTGCATGAAGTCCGGAAACTACCATTATTTGAGATCGTGGTTGTCGACTTGGAAGTCGTCGGAAAGCCCTTACAAAAATATGTATCCGCTTTATGCAGACTTACTATATAAAATAGTGTATAGAGGCTATAGATAACCTAGAGATGATGCATCCATTTATATATCCACTGTTTATAGCTCTTTTGACGCTCTTTTCTGGAGACTTCTTATGGAACTCTGTGTATAGTGCTTGGATAGAAATTGTATAGAAACTTTGTATAATAATAGAGATGTTAGCAACGTTTCTATCCAATGTCTAGCGCCAACAAGTCAGTTTTCCGCGAAAGAAATTCTGAATGATAACGTTAGGTTTCACACGATGCATTCACGGAAACATGCACTCGCCATTTGTCATGTTCATATACGCGAACATCACAAATACACACGCTACGGAGCTCTCATAACGCCAGTAGTTCAGCGGTGTTGACTGCTCCATGCGCTATATATGCACCAGGGTGTCGAACCGAACCCGAATCCGAACCGAAAACGGGAACAAAACCGAAACCGAAATCCAACGCTTCATATTGAACCCAAACCGGAACGAAACCATAATCTGATGTGGCGGTTACCGGTTCAACGAAAACGGTTCAGGGCCAATTGTGTCAATAATTGCTCTAAATGGGAAAAGTTTCAGGCGTATATTTTTCTTATGTTGCCAAGAGTAATTCTACATACTGTGAGTTATTTGTACATTTCGTTTTTACTGCATACGTAATAAAAAAATACATCATAGTCGGGAGAGCCTCAACTTTTCTATGTTTCTTGGATTGACCCTGGCGGTGGGGTAGCAGTGGCGGCGATTTCAAAGCACCGCTTGGCCGCTTGACTACGAAATGTCCAATTGTCGGAGCGGATTGCACCACTCTTGGCACGGAGGCCTACGCGTCCGCGAATGTTTGACCTCAAGATAGACTGTAGTTGCAGTCGACGAGCCATTTAGCCAATCGAGCACCGAGAGCGCACCACGTGACCTTCCGCTTCAGTGCAGCGACACCCTGAAGGAAGGGGGGACAAGCACCGCGCTGCATCGACAGTACAGTTTGTAGGGTCGCCGCCGGTGGTGCATTTCAATGAAAAACAATCTTTTCGTGAACGTGCTCGAAGTGTTACTTTACAAAAAAAGAAAGAAGGAAAACATGGGTTGTTGGAGGCAACGTTACTCGGCGATGATTCGCCGACGCGCTGCGCCCTGGAAGGAGGCCAGGGGCAAGAGTTGGAGGGGGGGGGGGGGGGGGGGGGGGGGAGGAGAAGAGAAATTGTGTCTTTGTTTATTTTTTTTTTTGTAGGTTTGTCAGACTAGCAAGGCCAGCATGTCGCCTGTTCAACCACTTTCTCTTTTTCTTGAAGTCTTCTTTCATCGTCTTCAACTGAGCATTCGAGAAACGTCGTTCGCTGTGATGACATTATCGGAACTTCGTTCGGTGGCTGAGAGGTACAAATGACCTGGTCTGAGTCCCTCAGACCGGGTAATTTGCATAGAGCGTTGTTTGCGATAAAAAATAAAATTTACTAGACAAAGCATCGCCACGAGATCTTTAAAACAGCTTTTTTTCGCTGGAACCCAAGCGCTGTCACGATGTAGTCACATTCCATTATATATACGTGCGTGTTCTCACGCCCGGCCATTGACACATCGGCCAGTGTGGCCGATGTATACACGACCACAGCTTAACGGGATTCGACAAATTACCCCAACTGCGCACTCGACGTCCCTGTTTCGGTGTTTTACGGCACATTTGCTTCCTCTCGTTCCCCTGTCAGCCACTCTGGGTCATAGCTGCGATATCTTACTGGGTGCCGAAAACAGGTAGCATGTATAAAAAAACACGAGTGTGCAGAGCAAAACAACCCAAAACATGTGGAGGGCAATCAATCTAGCTAGAGAGCTTTTTACTGTTTACAAAATCATAGCCCAGCGTGTGATCTTCACAGCCCAGCACGTGCGTGTTTGTCGCTTCGGAAAACGAGCAAAGCACGTGCTATATGCCCGAACACTAAAGCTGGCACCGGCCACAAGCTCGTTTTAGAAACCCATCCCAAAAATACGCCCTCTTCTGACAGAGTTTGAAATAATGCACAGCTGCGTGTGCAAAAAACACAACAAAAAGTAGAAAGCCCATCGGTTATATATAGTTCACTTAGAACAGTAATATGCAAGTAATAGCCTTGCCACATCATTGGTGTTTTTTGCGCACGTCACGGAGAAAAGTTTTCATATCTGCTTGAAGAGGGAGTAGTATTGGCATGGGTCTATTGCAAGTATCTCGTGCTCAAAAAAAAGGCTGCAGAAAGTGCTCGCTCAATATTCAAAGGTCCAGTTAGGAACCGGTTTGAACCGGTTTGCGCTTAATAAAACCGGAAACCGGAGTAACATTATGTGCGCTACCCTAAACCGGAACAAAACGCAATGCAACTGAACCCGAACCAGGACCGAACCGAAATAATGACCGGTTCGCCACCCTGATATATACGCTACACTTTAAAGGACGAGGGCCATCCCAGAATATATAAAAAAAAAAGAATTACAAGTATGTTGCATTTGTTTTTCGCAAATACTTTATATGAAATGTGGTTAATCGAGTCTTGCCAAGATTTATACTTGGAGATATAGTTAACCAAGTTAACTACATCTCCCAGTAGAAATCTTTGCAAGACAAAAGCACCCTCCGCAAGGAGGCTCCTACTATAAGTGATGTCGCTTCTCGGCCCTACATCTTATTAGTATATCGATTCTAGCCTATATAAATTCCATCCAAATATGGTAACAGAAAGTTGATTCACACGTGGGGATAAACATTCTTGAGCATTTCTATATAGTGTACTCTATAGACTTCAGATGAAAAAAATCTATGGAAAGTCTCTTAAAAATTGCTGATACGACCTGAGTAAATAGGAAGTTGAGAGAGCCGTTAAAACGTGGATAGTATTTCTATAGACAACCTGAAATATCTTTTTGTAAGAGAGGATTCTGGCAATCCCGTGATTTTTTAGGTTTATGCACGAGTAATTCCAGCTCGTCACACCAAACTGATTCGGCACACCCTCGACCAAATGCAGAAGTTTCGTAGACATTACCTTCAAGAGTTCACGCGACGCTTCGCTTGATGAGTAAAGCCTAATTTACACAATTGCGTTTGACTGCGTTAAGACTGCTTGCGTTGAGCTGCTGCTATGGTGACCGTTACGAAGAGCCGATGAGGAGGCGCTGTGCTGCACGACGCAACGCAGCCCAACGCAGTCGATGCAACTGTGTCAACGAACCTTGAGGGAGGGGCCTCACATTATGGCTGTGCGTCAGCTAAGTTACGTGATTCCTTATCACAAAGTTGCGATATGATCCGCCCCGTGACGTCACGATGCCATGTGAGAAGCTACGCTTCACCAATCAGGAGCCAGCTGCGCGCGCCCACTGTTGCCTGCTACCGCAGTCTTCCCGAGTGGCAGTCGCTAAGGCTACACCGCTTGCTGGCACGATACGACGTGGTTCTTGGTCACAAACGTATCATGCTTTACGCGTCGTGCTGCTGATCGGTCGGTCCGGGGTTCAATTTCCGTTCCGACCCCGCGGTAAATCTCGCTAATATTAATTAAGTACGAGTAATTATGGCTAAGTGTATATTTTGTAGTAACTAATAGAGTCAGAAAAGCATAGGGTGGCTTATTATGTTTACGTTTCTTGGTTTCTGAATATTTCTTCGGCGTTCTCATTGGCTAAGGCCAGATACTCATTGGTTCCTGAGGGATACTATTGAGATTCTCGGGGCTCGACCGACACGCCCTAGGCTTCTTAAGTTGTCAGCGACTATGTATGCTTAGTCATAGCCTTCTCTATACTCATAATGCCCGGCAGTTCGACGACGGAGCCATAGTGTGCCCGGTCGGGGATTTAGAGCTCGAGGATCTGGTAGCACAGAGCATCAAACAGTCATTTCTCGGGGAACCTGAACGTCAGCGTACAGCTTTTGCAGCGGCGAAAACCCGAAACACGCTTGTTTGCTCGGGAGAAGTGTGTTTCGGCGTCTCGCCGCAGCGGGGCGCCAGTCACGTGGCTCTTCTCTCATCCGTTGTCTGCCGCTCCACCTTTTCCATTTCTGTGGCCATTTTTGTGGCGATCTGCCACTCTTTGTCAGCAATTAGGAGGCTATGGCTTAGTATTCTCGTGCGCAGCCTGTTTATGGTTATGCATTGAGTTCCTGTATAGGCTCCCTACGGGAGCCAGAGTTGCGCGTTCATGCATCGTATGTGGATACAGCTCCTCACGTGACTGAATTCGGCGAATAGCAGCGCCGCGCGTTCGAGGCCCGCGGAGCGCTGAAAAGCCGGGGAACGTACGCCGGGGCGCGTGCAACGTCTACTTTGCTGCACGACACTTGATACGTACGGCTCCTCACGTGATCGAATCTCGGCGAATAGCGGCGAGGGCAGCAGGTGGCACGGGGAATCAAATGCGCAACTCTGGCTCCCGTAGGGAGCCTATACAGGAACTCTAGTTATGCATGCTTCATAGCGCCTTGACCTTTGTGTGGCGTTTTCTTTTTTTTTTTGCGCTCCAGCGCAACCCTTCCCGCAGAAAATTCAGCCATGTAACGCGTTTTGAGTTAACAATGTTTTGCGAACTATAATGCTGGACTGTCTTCTTGATGCTACGAGACGTAGAAGCATTTCATGGCGTGGTAACTATGTCATGGAGGGCTTTCGTGGATTACTTCGGGTCACTCAACCGTACGGAAAAAAAAAAATTAAAACGACGAAGACCATAAGACACACATTTAATTAACGTCCATATCGAGCAACGCGAACTTTACGAACAAGTACGCATTTGCCAGGTGCAGGTGGGGTCACCACGCGTGTGCAGAACCTAGACTCTCGAGTGCGCATGCGTCGCCGCTACAGCAGCGCCACCGCACCGATGTGACGTCACGGCCCCGCGTCGGTGTACAAGCCTAATCCTCGTGACAATGACTCGAGTGTGTACCTGAACTTCCGCCCGTCACAATGACGGTCTTTCCCTCCATGCTGGCCTTTGATTTGCACACCCCCTTGCGGACGAAGAGGGCAAGGACGCAGAGCGTGCCGGTAGCCACCCACAGTGCAAACTGGGTCAGGGTCACCCGGAGCAGCAGGAAAAAACCGGAGGGTCCGCCGCTCTCCTGCTTCATGTTTATCGACGTTCGTCCTAGCGGGGAAAGAAAAAAGGCATACTTTAAAATACGCTCCGCCGTGCAATATGTTCGTGGATGACTATTCACTGATTTACTAGCCCAACCGTAAAAACACTACCCGGGTAGCCCAAGAACTGCGGAGACTTGTCACCGTGTCAACAACGTTTTTTGTTTCATGTATAGTCTGTGGGACCGCGGCTCCACGGAGAATACCAAATGGCGCTGAACCTCAGTTTCGGGGTTATTCGTAATTATGTTTGATTTAGACCAGCTCGTTTGCATCCTTACTTTATGTTCGTCGGTTCTTTGTCTCAATGAGATGATGCCTAAATCATCCAAGTAACAGTTTTTAGAAACTGCTACTTGGGTGATAAGATATGCCCCACATTATTCTCGCACGCTCGACGCAAACTCAAGATTACACCGCAATAAAAAAAAATGTTTTTTTTTTTTTGGTTAGGGAAGCGAAACGAAGATTATAGAAACGAAGACGAAGAAAATGTCGAGCTATATAAAAAGATGATTGAAGCCGTGTAGGCACACGTGAACTCTGAGGCTCACTTCGAACAGAAGGCTCGGAGAGTTAATCGAGCCGTACCGGGTCTTAAACAAAAACAAATAAAAACAATAATAGTAACGATATACGTTTTTAATATTATTATATATTTATATATTCAGTTATTGTTCCAACAAACGAAATGTTGAAATGCTTCCTGGGAAAAAGGTCTGGAACACCTAGACTGGACCCTAACCACTCAAACCACCAGTCGTAATGCATCATCAGAGAAATTTATACAATGTTAACAAAACGCTAGGAACTTATACAATGATAATAAAATGAGGAGTTAAAAACACGAGTGAAATACCAAGGGTGAGATTAATATAATAGTAACGTGCGAAAATTTACTAAAAAGAAATGTAGAAATATATGCTCAAGATGTTTCATTAAAGGGCAACTCCGCTTCATTTTTGTTTTGAGAAAAACAATGCAGTTTTTTTCAGTGTCACCTAGGAAGACCACTCGGCAAATATTACGAAGTAGTTCTGTCTAAATGTTTCGTTCATTGCAACTCGCCAAGTTGCCGAAATCGGCCGACTCGAGCGTGGGCGAAGCCAACATTGAGCTAAGCGTCATCACCATCGCCCCCTTTTGCTTGTTTTACTTTTCTGGACAAGCGTAGCTGGTGACGTCAACAACGTTTCCTCTCGGCGCTCAGCGGTGTCCACGTGATTGGCGTAACGCGCCTGCGCAGGGTGCTTCTTGGGAGCCGTTCGGCCGCCCCGCCGTGGCTCCGCCATTACTGCCGCCTCCCACGTCGGAACCGTCGCCGTCTCTCTCGGAGTTTCGTCCACTCCACGGACACAGCGTGTGCAGACTTATGCCGCAGTTTTGCAGACGTCGCCGAATGCCGTAAACACCAAAAAGTGGTGAAGAGTCGGGTGCAGACGACGCTTGCGTCTGGCACATGGCCGCCCCATCTCGCCCGTCGTTGAATAAAGGATCACGTGACACCTCGTACCACGTGATAGGCATGTTCTTTGCAGCTTGAGGCTGATATTGCAGGACGGAGCCGAAGTTTCGGTTTCGATTTCTGCTCGTGTTTAAAATTATATTTAAAAATATATATCCAATTTTTCGCGAAGCAAATGACGGAGTGTATTTTACAAAAACTTTTTAATGCGTAATCACTTTTTTTTTTTTTTTGCCTTCGCCATTGAGCGCAGTGCACTTTGAGTGGAAGCAGAAGTGGAGGCGGAAAGATCTTCAGAACTTTCGTCCAGAATGATGCATAGAGGTGTGACGTAGTTCTTTTTGCGCAACTTGTCATTGTCTCGGTAGCGCGTCCTTTGCTGATACGTCGACGTCGCGCTGTCGAGGTAATGGCGCAGCGCTTGAAAACAATATGTCGTTTTTCCAGCCGTCACAATGGAGGACATTTTGGGCGCTCCTTCTACTTTCAGGTTCAAAATCATGTGACAAAAACACGAAAACCGATTTGTAAATATCTGAAGCCCGTTGGTGTTTCAGAAACTGTCTAAACTGGTTCAGCCCCTCATTGCGACCACTGTCTCTGCTAAAATTACAACAGGACCCTAAACATATATATATATATATATATATATATATATATATATATATATATATATATATATATATATATATATATATATATATATATATATCAGGGTGTCGAACCGGAACCAAACCGAACCGAAAACCGGAACCGAACCGGTATTTTTTCCGGAACTGAACCCGAACCGTTATATTGTTATTGCGATGAACCCGAACCGGAACTGAACCGGAAAAAAAATAGCGGTTACCGGCTCATGTCAAAACGGTTCGGCCACGCGCTGTTGACAATGAACGTGCTATCAATGCCATTTGTTTTTTAAGTGCCGTCAAATGACACACGCCTCGCTTACATATTTTTCTTCTCCACTCAGTCTTAGGAATATAAACGCTGCATCCATGAATCCTGACAAACGCTGCATCCATAAATCTTGACATAGGAACCAGTATTGCGCTGGTCGCGGCTTGCACGGAAAAAAAAAAAACTTGGAAGGTTGTGCAAAAAAAAAAAAAAATCGCGTCACGGGATTTTATTTTTTTACAATCTCGTAAATCCTAAATGCTGCTGTGTGCTCATTTCATAACACGTTTCTAGAACGCGCGAGTTCTTGAAGCTTCCTTCCATCGGAATGAGAAAAGAAAAGGCTGTGGAGTTTGATAATAATGCATCCGGTTTCGTATAGGCACTTAGAAGCTAACATATTTGTGAGACAGCGAACTCTTCTATTTTAATATTTATCCTATTACGTCCTCCTGGCGTTGCGTTCGGTGAAGTGTTTTTCATATTCCGTATCTTGTTTAATGAAAACTTCTTTAAGGGTCTAATTTGAGTTACCGAAGGCTAGTTCAAATAAAGAAAGCTGTATTTTCTCCCCACTGTTCCTTCAATTGCTTACACGCCGAGGTGGCGGGATAGTTAGCGATTTCTACTTGTAAGTGGGTTTGTAAGGAGGTCGCGGATTTTACAGCTACTGCGTCGGACCCAATTAGATGAAGTCCGAATGCGTAAACGTCGGTGAGGTAACCTTTGAGTGCACATAAAGAAATCATTCCTGGTAGAAATCCCTGAGCCTTACACTACGATGTATCCCGTTTCGTATGTGCTGATTTCAGATGTTTTATTTGTAATTTATTTTGACGTTGCAATTTGTCATTTATAATTTCCGAACCGGTTCGCGAACCGGTTCAGCGAACCGAACCGGTTCGCGGATTGAATTAATCGAACCGGAACTGAACCGGAACAAAATAAATTTACCTGAACCTGAACCGTAACCGAACCCGTATTTTTTTCGGCTCGACACACTGATATATATATATATATATATATATATATATGTATACATTATATATAACAGGGCAACAAAGAACGTTCTAAGAACAACAACAACCCGAAACCAATAGATAAAAGTTGATAATCAAAAATGAGTTATATCGCTAATCATGTAATCTCCGCCCATCCTAATAAACACATTGTGAAGAAGGCACCCATGCAACTATGGCCCCTGTTTTTCTTTATCTGTTCGAATTGAAAGAATCCTGTCAATGAAATTAAGTTCAAGTATATTTCCCTCAAAAAACAACAAGGCTAAAATCCGAGGTGAGCAACCAATAAATAACACTTAATATTTTGTAAAAATACGCGCCATTGGCTAAAACGAATCGGATGTGCTTCTGGCGTCCAGGTAAAGACCTTCCGGGAACTTGTTACATTTAAGAAATGTCACAACAGATGACACAATCATTAGTAAATAGTGGAACTCGCAAAAACGAAAACACAGGTGAAGTAATTACCATAGAAAAGACGCCATAAAGCGCGCTGATTAGGGAACACCGAACGTAATTTGGACAGAAGAAGAGTTGGAATTTTCATAGAAGTCAAATAAATCCTCAATGACAGGTCTTTAAATTCATGGGAGAATGTAAAGGGTGAATATTAAGCTAGGCGTTCTAATAGAAGCTTGTGGTGAGGAACGTGATCGAAGGTTCTAAATCGAGAAATATTCCATCAACCTTCATGCCAGCATCTAAAGATGAGTGAAAGTCGGGAATAAATCCAGCCAGAGGAATGCTACATCGGTAGGATTGCGTGTTTTCGGATAAATCTGAACAACTCCAAAAAACACTGGCCGGTAAAATTTGAACCAATTCGGGTTCATCTGAAAAAGTTCGTATTTCGAGGTCAGGATGGCAAACAAATAAAAAGAAAAAAAGAAAGTCGGTATTTCACGAATAAAGTTTGTCAGGGCAAAAGGTTAGTCGTCCTTAGGAGACGCCACAAAAGTGTTTTTCTTCTTCCTTTAGTTTACGATTGGAAAAAGGGAGTGTCCCGCTTGTCTCGTTAGGGTTGGTTCAGCACAATGGTTCAGTACAGCGTACGGAACAACGGGTCAATGTACTTTTGGGTGACCACAAAAGCACTATTCCGGTTTCCAGCTTACACCATCCTCTCGAGCTTCTTAGATAGAGGGCTCGTTTTTTTCACGAACAGTGAAATATATGGCTATTTAGGTTTCATAAAAGGGGCGGGGGGGGGGGGGGGGGGGGGGGCGGGGGCGGGGCTGCAGCGTTTATTCTTCCCAAAGACTACGTCCAGGAGTTTGGCTGTTTCAATGTACCAACGTTTATTGAAACAAAACTTATTTTCAAGATTTATCGTGGGGCAGTTAGTGCTGCCACTCCCAAGGGCGTCAATGCCAAATGCAGCTGCAGAAATATATTTCGATAAGAGTGAATCTTTTTATAAATTTAAGGCATGTTTTTGCGCGAAGATTTATTTTTATATTGAATTTTGAAAATTGAAACGCAGTGAAATTAAACTTTGAATATCAATGAATTTGAAGTCTAACAAAAATAAACTCCGATAGACCACGAATTTACAGCGACAAGTGAACTCTGAAAAACAACCTCCGTATTTTAGAACACATAAAATTTGAGCACACGGAACCCTAGACATCGGCAATCGCTGCGAATATGGTTAATTGAAGACAATTCTATGTCCCTCTGAGTAGTGAATTGCCAGAGGAAGTATGACGTGTTCAAAATATTTACTGGTTGTAAAGGTTAGCGCGATGGGTAAATAATCTACTAAAAAAAATGAATCATCAGATTAAAAGACGCGTGATACTTCACTTATTCGCCAATCTTCTGGGTAAAAATTGATTTGAGGTTATCGTGAAAACGTCGCGGTCAGGAGCTCAAAAATACTTTGTGATGTGTGGAATGTTTATTATTCAGAGGAACTTGAAAGGGGGAGGTGGAAACTGGAAGCTGGATTAGTATACTCGTAAGCAAATCCCAGCGAGAAGAAATCATTAGGG